TATATACAATCATCGTTTTTCTAAATTCGACAATCATATTGGCCTGATGGTGATACTGTGAAGTATCGGACGCTCAGTTTTACGTAAAATGATTTTACGAAAATGTTTTTCAATTATATTAAAAATACTTAGTTTTATAAAAAACGTATAAAAGTCAAAGAATTTCAGTATTTTTTCATATAAGAGTTCTGAAAATACAGGGTAAAATAGATTATCATCCACGTTGAATCTGATGGTAACGTTTATTTTCATTAAAAATTTTAAAAGCCTATTTTAGATAAAATAACCTATTTTTGATTATTTTCAAGTAAAACAGAAAAATTCGAAACCTAATGAAGATCGGTTCAAAACACTTTAGAACTTCAAAATATACTGATAAGTGTTTTATGCCGGCTATATTTTCTTTATTAAAATAACTCAACGTTTCGAGTTCACTAGAACTCATTATCAAGAGTCACTGCATACAAAAATTATACATGAAAAATGAGTAGATTCAAAACGGAATTTTGTAAGTTAGATTGTTACTGTGGTAGATTTTTCGTTATTTCATCGTATTTTCCACATTTCTTTTTTGGAATACTTTCTGGATAAATGAGTAAAGAAACAGATCAAACGTTTAAGTTTAGTTTAGGGGTTAATTGTTTTATAGTTTTATAGCTAAAGATTCTTCTTATGGAAGTAAAATTCTTCATGGATAGTAATCGTTATCGATTACTATCCATGAATAGAGAAAAAAAAGACTATTAATCCAGTCTATTATGTGATGCTTTTTATTTTGACGTTGTGCTATGAGTGTTTTGAGTTTTTGGTTGAAATACGATTTTGGTATTGGTGGAGGTAGACTTGTTTCTGATGATTTTGTTCTTAATTTTGAATTTATTTTAAATATCAACATCGCGTCAGTATATTTCTGGGTGTTGTTTTAATCAATCCGAATAGCGTTTTCTAAAAGCATATCAACGCTATACTGTAGCTACTTAAACAAAATATCGTAGATTATTTGCACATATTACATTATTTCATGTGATTGTAAATCAACGTGGGTACGTCTAAGAATAAGATTAATTAATTAATCTATCCAGTTATTCAATAATTAAAAATAAATAAATAAATTAAATAAAAAATATTGCCACGCGGCTCAGCATGATCGATTACTTGTAGTCCATCCATTTTGAAGGCTACCAATAGTCTCGGGGTGCCAGTAATACCTCTCGTATGAATTCCGACGCAACACTCGAGCTGCGAAAAATCTAGATCTCGCTTGATTCACATGTTGAAGAAGACACCTTGGGCTATCAGTCCATGGAAGAAAATCCATACAATCCTGTTGAAAAAAAGTTTTATACATGGTCCGGTTTTTCAAAGATCTCCTAGAAAACCTTTTTTGAAAAGTACTTCTGGAAAAGCTTTTGCTTGTGACAATATGCCTTCAAGTCTCCTCTTTTGCATGGCGAAAGCCGGAGTTCTCTGGCTTCTTTTTATCATGTCTTTGCAAAGTATAAGTTTCTGACAGTCGATCTCTGGAATATATCTCTATTGTATAGGATCGTTGTTGACCGCTATTTTTTTTTCATTACACAGGACACACAATGATAAACGGTGAAACCCAACTTGCTCCTTTCAACCATATCCTAGGAATCGCATCAACAAATGTGCCAGCCTATTCCAACGAGGATGATGAATACTTTCACCTCGAACAACATTATTTTCAAGGTATATTTACGGGAATGAAATGGCAATGCGTTGAATTTGCTCGTAGATGGCTTTTAATGCGTAAAAGCTGCGTATTTAAAAATATTCGATGCGCTGCTGACATGTGGACTGACCTGACTAGTGTCGAACGAGTCACCGACGCTCAACAGTTCCTACTGGCAGCCCATCCAAATGGTTCTGCAGAAGCACCTAAACACGATTCGCTTCTCATTTATTCGCGAAGTGCGGAACAGCCTGTCGGACATGTGGCCATTATAACCGAAGTTGGACAAGATTTTATTCGTATTGCAGAGCAAAATAATAAGTCTCACTACTGGTCTGGTAACTACGCTCGTCAGATTCCATTGGTTTTTGAGAGCGGTGTTTATTACATCAAAGACGAGGATGAAGTTTGTGGATGGAAGGAAATCGAAGAAAGCAATCAGTTGAAACCATTAGATGAAACGAAAATGGATATTGTTCTCAAGCAGTACCAGGAACCTCTACCGATAGGCAAAATGGAGCGTTGCTTCGTTACGAATAGCAGCACAGATTCAGAGTGCTCCTGGCTGAACGAGAATGATCCAGCTGAAAAGTTCTTTATCGAACTGTATGGTAAAGACATCGTAAGAGCCAATGCTTGTACACAGGATATGGCTTACTATAAGATCAATCAAAATTTACTTTATAACATTAGCAGTGTGTCGAATGAATTACACCGAATGTTTCTGGAAGCTACGAATCGTGTCATTCATGATGACGAGCTCTTGACACGTTTTGGTATACCAAATGCTTTCTGGACTCGGATTCGTCAGTCTTGGGCAAACGATCAAGATTCTACTTTGACAGGTCGGTTCGATCTAGCATTCGACGGGAAACAACTGAAAGTATTCGAGTACAATGCCGATAGCGCATCGGCACTTTTCGAATGTGCTATTATACAGAAAAAATGGGCAGAAGCTGTGAATTTGCCTTCTCTCTTCATGTCTGGGCTTCGATTGCACCGTGTTCTAATTAAAAACTGGAAAAGATGGAACATAAAAACACGCGTACATTTATTGATTGATAACGAGAAAGAAGAGTTACTTACTGCTCTCTATATGCAAAATGTAATGAGAGAGGCTGATATTAGTTCAAAAATATGCACCAAGATCGAAGAATTTTCGTGGAAAGACTCTACTATTGTAGACAACGATGGTGAGACAGTACAAATTGTGTGGAAACTGTGGATGTGGGAGACTGTCTTTAGGGATTACAGCGAAGCGGCAAAGGAACGATGTCTCGATGATGAAAACACTAATAAAAATGAACCATGGAGACCTATCGATGGCCAGCATCCACGTCTAAGTGATATTTTATTAAATGAGCATATAAAGGTGATCGAACCATTGTGGAAAGTTATTACAAGTAATAAAGCACTATTACCCATCCTGTGGACTATGTTTCCAAACCATCCAAATCTTTTACATACTGAATGGACTCTCACGAACGAACTCAAACAAGGTCCATTCGTGAAAAAGCCGATCGTCGGTCGATGTGGCCAGAATGTAACGTTGTACAATACAACCGGGGATTTTGTGATCGACGAAACTATCGGCAAATTTTCGGATCGCGACAATATTTATCAAGAGCTATTTCCCCTAAAGAATTATGATGGTTATTATGGAATTATTGGTAGTTGGATTAGTGG